CTATCCAAAAATTTCCTGGATTGCCTGTGCACCGCTGTATTGCTCTCCCAGCAGATATCAGGGTGATTAAAGTCTCCCATGAGAACCAGGGCCTGCGATCTAGCAGCCCAGTTGTACAGTATTTATATGAGTGTTGGGGAATTATTTTCTCCTTTAGAATAATACAGCGTGGGTCTGATTTGAAAACCCCATGGGTGCAGTGATATGCTTCATTTGTGCATGAAAGGGCAGTGATTGCATTGTACAGAAACTGGATATTTGCACATGAAGATGGACAGCTAGCAGTGTACTTTGCATGCATAGTTTTTAAACTCAGGCACTGCCCTTGTTATTTTAGTGCTGCAGTGAATATTTCACTCCTTTGGGGTTTGGATTAGAGTATTTCTTCAAAATTGCACGTCTCTGCGACCTGTCATATTTGTCACTTTCATGACTGATGTGTCTTTGGGCACAACGCTGCATATGCAGTCTCTCGTTATGTCAGCCGTGTCTCCTCCTTAACTCAAGGTTACCGGAAGCTGCAGGCCATAGCAGAACAGTTGATCATGTTTGAAACGCTGAAGCAGAACTTTGAAAACAGTTTCATCAGCCATATTACAAGCATCTTTGAACTGCAGGTATGTTAACCCCAAACTTGCCGTGGCATGTGTTAAACACTGAAAAGAATTAATATTTTGGCAATGCAATGTTGGAGGTATAGAAAGTGCTACCCTAAAAACAGGCACAGAAAGGGTTAAAAGACACCTGTGTCTTCCCGAGCCCTTCTTTAGACACACCTAAACAAACCTTCTTTGGATTGACTCTCTTACAGGGGGGCAGTGTTGCACATATTTATTGATCTGGAGAACTGTCCTCCCATGCCACTGTCTTGCCGCAGTCAAATTCAAAAAAGGCTTAGCCTGAACAACATTTTTTTTAAAGTGATTCCCCCCCCGCCCCGATTTCCTATATACATTAGAAACGTAGGTCCCCATTAGCTTGTAGGACTCTACGTTTACTGGAAACTAATGAAATGATAACATCACAAGAGGGAAGAGACTGAAAGTTGCAGCCTGGGGTATGCGCAGGAATTTAAATTTGATCCCTTTTGGAGGGGCACATTCTGTGCCCATGCCCATCCCCCGCCCCTGAGGAGCTCGCTGGCCCTCACCACTCCAGCCCCGGCAGGAACTCGCTGGGACCAGAGAAGTTCTGTGCCCCCGGCCGATTACTGAGTGCGGGGCGTGTGTCTGCTTGCCCCTCCTTGTGCATGCCCCTGGTTGCGGCTATTGAGAAAGGAAGGGATATCAATCAGCTTGTTTATAACTTCGTTTTTGTCCACAACCATTTAACTTTGGAGCCTAATTGATGATTGGTAGAAAGGATGTCTTTGTTTAAGTCTCAAATTACTTGCACCTTCATTTGAAGTGTGAGACTCCTGCTATTGCTAAATTAAAACATAAGCAAAAATCTATTTTGGCAGGGGCAGGGAAAGGAAAATAACACATTTCTCGCTTTCTTTATATATGAAACAAACCCAAATCCCTTCAAAAAGTCACCTTTAAACATCTACATTACATCTGGGAGGGGATCTACTCGGTTGGGAATGGACAAAGCAGAGGTTTGTAAAGGAGAAGAGGTTAGTTCCAGGAGAGCACAGACATTCAGTTCAGGGTTTTTCTCTCTGGAGTGAGACTCAAACTCCATCCCTAAGAGCATAGAAATCTGGATCACATTTCCTCCTTCTCATGCCCATTGAAAAACTAAAATAGTCCTTGCCACGTCATTATTGAATATTGTTTGTCAGGAACGGTTCTAGGTCCTGATTCTGGTCTCACGCAGCTGTGACCATATTGAGATGAGACTCCATCAGGCCCATGGTGGATATTATTGCCTGCAGAGAGTGGATTCTAAGTACTCTACTGCAGTGGCTCTCAACCTTTCCAGGCTACTGTATCCCTTAGAATCATAGAATCATAGAATATCAGAGTTGGAAGGGACCTCAAGAGGTCATCTAGTCCAACCCCCTGCTCAAAGCAGGACCAATTCCCAGCTAAATCATCCCAGCCAGGGCTTTGTCAAGCTGGGCCTTAAAAACCTCCAAGGAAGGAGACTCCACCACTTCCCTAGGTAACGCATTCCAGTGTTTC